CACTAAGAGCAGCATGAATGCTAACTTTATCAAAGTCTAGGCATATGTCATTGGTTGAGGTACATGTGGTTTAAGATACGGTGCGTACAGGACGGGAATCCAAGTTTGTACATAACTGATTCGGTAACTGTTAGGCCATGAGCGGCTGAGTGACAGTGTGGTTGAGCGGTGTGATTAACTTGCAGTCGGATGGAATATAGTGCAACCGTTACACCGTTTGCTCAGCTGGTATCTAACAAACACGGATGAACGGGTCAGATTTCTTCAGATTTAATAACATTGTCCTCTCTGTGAGAACGCAATGAACGTATCAGGTAAATTTTAAACAACAGCTGCAGTGCTCCATCCATAACAGGCTGGATTTATAAAACTACTTTTTTCCTGTTCTATGAACACCCTGATGAGCACTGCCGGCTGAGGTTTGAAAGCCAACACTTTTTTCCTGTTCTATGAACACCCTGATGTGCACTGCCGGTTGAGGTTTGCTGCGCTGACAAAATCTTGGTAGGCGGAATTCTGATTGTCCTGACAAATATATTGGTTTTGTAGCTACTTGGTCCCCCCACTAATCAAGCGAGTACTACTGTAAACGAAATTATTGGAACGGTTGTTGAGCCATTCAATACAACACCGTACAGAACGGGCTTAATCTGTATTGATTTGATGTAAAACACTGATGCGTCTTAAGGTAGTTATCTGTCAGCATTTTAGAATGTAAAACGTTCTCAATGTACCGTGTAGTTTTTCGACCGCCGGGCAGTTAGCGGATGATCTATTCCCATGGCCCGATAATTGGCTTGCAAGTGGTCCGTTACAATGCAAAAAAGTTAATATCTATGCTCCGCTAATGCGCCAACTCGCGACTCGTAAACAGCCAAACGCAACTTTGTCCATCAGATTTTCCACGTGTGGTATACTTTAGAGTGAGCTAATGTGCAATATTATAGGATACAAAAGAATTCAATCGATAATCTGGAATTTGGGAAACGCTGTATATCACATCAAATATAAGGATCCTGTAGCATCTTGCCACGTTAAACTTTTGAATTACATTTACCTTGACAACGTCCATATATCTACATTTTTTTCATACGATCCGCTCATGTGGAGAACTGTTTTGTCGAGGAAAATTTCAGTTGACAAATTCTTTTGCGCTGCATGAATCAGTGGTATCATTAACGGTGATTTAATATGCGCAATGCTTACCAAAGAGGTACTACTCCAATTCAATTGTTATCTGTGTGTAGTCGGAAATATCTACCACCTTGTGTAGTCTTTTTGATATACTGGCGCTAGTTCTGCCATCGCGTCTTAAGTAGATCAAATACACAGTGCCAATAAATTTATCATAATAAACGCTGTACCAGCGTTGTTCCTTTCGAGGAATACACAATTTCTCAAGAACATGCGTGCCGGGATAGTCTCTTTGGATATCTATGCAAGTTGTTTCAGGGAAAGAAAGTTCATTTATCTAGGCGGACAGCAAGTGATCTAACTGGTGCTTATCCGTCAACGCGTGTGTATCTATTCTATTCGCGCTGACTGAGGAAACCGGTCATCCAGTGGATGAATGCTGATGAGGATGTGAGATAGAATAAATGTGGTTGAAATGCAGAGGCACGCCAGCTTCATAGATGTTTTCTCCAGAGTAATTTTGCGTTCTAAGTTTGGCACTCACAGACGATAAAAGTAGCTTAAATACCGTTTGCTCCTGGACACAGTCTCAGCAGTTTAACTGTTACAAAGAAGCTAAATATCACCAATGGTCTAAGTCCTTTGGCTTTTCGTACTGTTTCAGTGTTGTATCATCAACCTTGTGTTGTCCTCATGCTTCGTTTACTGTTTTCAAATTATGGCATGGTTTGCGGCACTATTGCCCATCCGTTTCTGGTATGACGTGGAGGCTTTGAGACATCGAACAAGACAGCATTTTACAGCCGATGACAAAACGCTTGTTTTCTTCTACAGTCCTACAGCGTACAAACAGTGCGGTTTTCCAACTAACAAATGCTATTATCAAGAGTAGATTACCCGGTCGCTTCAAATATTTGGGTTTCTTTTACTTTTCACCAAAGCTGTCAGGCCAGTCTGAGGCATTTATCTGACGTCATCCTGTTCTCTCTGCATACTACAGATAAGCCACCCTCGAGTCCATGTAAGCCGTTTTCCATTACCAGCAGTCTTGTAGCTACAACAGTCATATGGGCCTGAGAAATGCGCCTTAACATGTCCAGTAGGAGCTAGACGAATGCAAGTCTTATCAGTTTGTTGGATTGAAATATCGGTTGAGGAATATGTGAATTAAAATGCCGGCATTTAGGCTGGAAATCCAAAATTCTAGAAATCAATCACAAACAATTTGTTCAAAATATTTAAGGCCTTTGAGATTCCGCAAAGTGTGGAGCCCAAAAATTCCCTGAAAGTACTTGCCGGGGTTTCGTCCTGCATGTGAAGTTGGTCTATGTTAAACAGCCATAAAAAGGAGAGAAGCTAATTCATCCAAGAGAGCAACCAGCAACGATGGAATTTCAGGATGGAAAACTAGAGAAAACAATTTCGCACGCTCAGGAACAGTAAACGAGACGCTACCGGCTGATCTAAGATAGATTATCAACAGTCTTTGAGACACGCAAACAAACACGAACGAGCGAAACCCATGCTTAAAAAATACGATCTATACTGGATAGTAAACCATAGCCTTGCTAATCATGCGATGACTTCCAAATGGAAGCCTTCAGCAACCAGAGTACTCTGTTCGCATTGGTATGACCAGCGTGTTAAGTTGTAGGAAATACTAAACTGTTAGATTTGGCTTGCAAGAAGATACCATAGTTTGGATTCTGAGAAATGCGAACACCCATATATTTGCGTTTCACACGATGACCAGATTCAGAACACGAGGGATTATTCACGTTTATATAAGTAATGTCACAAAGTTTTTTATTTTGTTATATGTAGGCCTGTTGTTCATGCAACCCCCTAGCGCCTTTCTAAACAAATTTGTCTCTACGGTAAAACAGTCACGTTCACCAATTTCCTTCACGTCACTAGTCCTTGGATTGAACATCTCAGACTGTCTTTTTTTATTGCGCGCAGCGAGGTCATCAGCTAGTAATTACTGACGCTGATTCCACTTACCTACATCCTACTGACGTGTGCTGCATTCAGCATAGTTCGGCTCTTATAAGGTTTGTTCGAATGGGTTTACTCGCGAGACGTGACAAATTTTCCGCAGGCATATTCTGAACCGAAATAAAAGTAGACTGAAGCACACTTGTATATTTGTATTTGAAAGATTAAAAGAAACAACATTTCGCCTTTCGATGTTCCAATTAGATGATCGACTTAAGACAAATATTGACGGTAAGTAGTTGTACAGAGGGTCCTTGCTGTTAAGTTTTGTGTATAAATTACATCACATTGATAACCATCTAAACGTCCACAAGAATTTAACTAGAAGACATTTCAGAATTCTGAGCACATAAATCCTACTCTAGACCCTGAGACAACCGAACGGACACTAAGGAATTGAACGTCTGGAGATATCTAACCGAGAAACGTAATAAGATCCATTTAGGTCTTGAAGGCTGAACACACGAGAATGTGGTCTAGAACTCCCAGTAACCCAAAACACTTCTCATTTTGATAGAAAAATAAAGTCAACAGAACCCCGTTTCTTGCCTACCAGATCAGTAACAAGAGGGTGAAACTGGTAATCAACTTCCAAAGTTTTAATAAAGCGGCACGTTGTATGTTTCCTCCAGATGATCTTTCGCAACATCTCGAATATCGCCCACGTATAGCACAATCAGCTGAAGAATGCCTCAACCAAAAAATTCACCTGTAATTCATTTGAACCCACATGAAAACACCAAGCCACTTCGCAAACGAATGCAATCGGCAGAAGGTGTGTTTGGTGTGCGCTAGCGACCCTCATAAGAAAGCGCGATGGGCAGTTGGATGCCGGAAAGCTTGCGGCTGGTTATGGTTAGTGTGGTTTTACGGAACATTGGGTTGTTCAAATCAGCAAACCAATTCTGCCTATAAAGTGGTTTTGCAAACAATGCTTTCAAGCGGTTGGCACTCCCATATTTTACAACGAACGGCTTACTGATCAATTCTGGAGGATAAATTATTATGTAGTTTGACTCTATGCATTTTGTCGTGGACACCATGACGAAAATATAACACTGAGCGGAGATAAATTAACAGCGAGTGTGTTGGAGATCTACCTGTTGGAAGCATGTACATAAGGTTTTTCCTCGCGCAGCATACTTCGAAACGTCGCCGGGGATCTAAGGATTCGGATGAATTCCTGAGCTTCTAATTCATAAAAGTGATTTGACTTTCTAAACTTCCGTGTTATTGCAGACTCGAAAAGTTCACGTGTGCATGCCCAATCTAATGAATTTCTGGAAATAATTCATCAAAAATCACGTGGTGCGATCCATTTTGGATCGAGTTTTCTCCTTAGAAACAAGTTTTTGTGTATCAGAAAGTGTCGTATAATTCGGGTTTGATTAAAACACCACAATCGTTTGAACCGCTTCCACAGAGGTGGAATACGTTATACATTTTTCAACACCTTCCAGTAATATGTGAGCAGTTTTCTACAGGAGTGTATACTTTCGTAGAAGCACTGGAAATGGCGCGGCCTATGCAAAGCACACTCAGTTTACAGATACCAGAGAAGATGGATATGGTTAGGATATAACTGAGGCCATTATTGTTAGCAACCGTACCTATAAATGACGCATTTCGGAAAAGTAACAGAATCTTGAATGGAGGGCCACATACATAAACCTGAAGGGATATATCTGCGAACAAGCAATGTGTATACATAGTTTCGTGTAAAGAATTAAGGAAGGTGCACAATTCTCCAAGGTCACTTTGACTAAATAGGAAGAAAACAGATGAACTCTTTCTCCGGCATTCAGTTAAACATTATTTCATTTTTATTTCCCTACAAAAAACGAACCGACTATGAGGCATGTGCTTACATTGGCGGCATAAAAGGCAACATTCAACAGAAGTTCAGGAGGCGCAGCTATGTATTGGACTCGAAGCTTACTGCTACTGGAAAAATAGTGGGTTGATAAACTAACTTATAACAAATAGGCCTTTACGTGTGCCTACTCTTATGTCTGACAAAAGCCCATAAATATTCCTGTCGCGTAGTAACTAACCGTCAGCTTGGTTTCCGATTTGATGTGGTTTGAGCTCGGGATGAAGTTTATTGGAGAAATTTGGAAGTTAACTTCACTGGGGACTAACGGTTATTCGCGAAAAATAAAATGAGGCTACGTCCAAGGAAATGTTTCCCCATGCTGGCAGATTTATTTATTTTGATCACGGAACACGGGTTGGTGCAAAATCACGTGTTGCGTAAGCTTTGTTATCTTTCATTTATGCAGCCATGATAGGTAAGTGGCCTTGAATTCATCGCAAAGTGAAGTGTGCAATTACTATGCTCGATGGAACTTTTGAAGGGAGAAATCGGAGCACACTGATTAGTTGTCATGAAATCATTGGCCGTTTAGTGCCGAACCACTGTTGTGGATGTCGTCATATTAGCATATTTAACCCAAAACACAACAAATACTACATCTGGAGATAACATAGACTGAACGGATTTCAAGATCATGTGTCGCTTAAGGATTAGCAAAATCGGACATCGAATTTCATAAATGTCCAGTTCCCCTTTTTTGGATGTTTTGGACAAGGTTTCTCGTGATGCGTGTAGTGCTTTTAACTTGCCAACACCAGAACACCAAAAGTTTGAACCCTGTTGGAAACTTGAAGATAAAGTATCTTTACATAAAACTCTTCTAAGCCTTCTTTGGTCTCATCTGCAGCAGTTGAAAGGATTTTTAATACGGACAAGATTACTGAAAAATTGCGCAAGAAATATTTTGGCAAGTTAAGGATCGTCAATCGTTTGGTGAAGTACAACCGTTCACGCAATGATTATAAGGTGAACTACGACGTTTTCAGCTGAATAGTAAACATCATTCTGCAGTGACTGGCGGCTCATGAGAGTAGGGGTGTTTTGAGTTATCCAATTTGCTTAGAAGAATTTTGAACGGCACTACAGTCTAATATTCAACCAATGCGCCGATAAGTCGACAGGGTTAAAATTGTCGCACATGCCGTTAAAAAAACTAATCAATGGTAGCTCCTGATTATCGTTTAGCACCGATTAATTTCAAGACAAATCTGACATCTCAGTTGCTGGATCCGCATGTTGTCTTCCCGTAAACCTCTATCTTAAAAATTTAAGCGACAGTTTTCACTAAATTTATCTTTGCCGAATTCCCATAATCTTTATCATTAGATCGTGTTAATAATGAGCGGTCGACGTATTAGCACTTTATTTCCACAGTATATTTTTGGCTGAGGTATATTTAATTCCACTACGTTAATATTGTTAATAATGTTTATTCCCAACTTGTGGGTGGCATACCGTCTGGCATGATTATGCATTTACAGTCAGAATAAATCATAACTAGAGGGATTTGCGGGTAGTGGGGATTGCGCCGTAAACAGGACGTCATAAACATTGTGTAATATCCGATAAAATAATGATAATAATAGGAGGTTTATTTCCCAACTTGTAGAAACAATGGGTATGGGGTTTGAGAAGTTCAACGATGAAGCCTGCTGACGTGAACTGAAACTAAAAACCATTGCTAGCCATGGGTGACCTTGGGCGGTTAAGTAAATAGCCAGAGTGATAACAAGCAAAAGTGGAGATGGGTATGGAATAACTCTAGGTGGAAGCAACTGGCGCGTTCTGTGTAGAAAATATGGTTTAACTCAAAACTATCTATATTCAGTGGTGCCACTGTTGTAGGGAAGTCAAGTGCAAAGTGTATGTTGGATGGGGAGACAGTGCTAATGCATTGGGCCAAACGAACACCGTATACGGAATTGAACTTGTGGAAGATGTAAGCCGAAATTGAAGCAGAAAACCATGTTGGTCAAATCCGGATGAAAGTTTCACCGGATTAGAACGAACTCGTCCCAGAGGCGGTTGGGGCCAATTTGATTTTAGCACGATTTCGTCTTAGTCTGCTCACCTAACATTTATTTGATACCGCCGAGGCCACCATGTGAATGTATTTAGACTTGTCCCTTTAGTATCCAGGACAGCATGCTTTGTCGTATGTAGCGTTTTATGCAAACTTACTTTATTTTAGGTCTGTTGATGTTGAAAAACTAGGTCACTTGTGGCTAAAGTTTTGGAGATTCACGTTCTTAGGCATGGCCACTGCGTAACCAATTGAAGCAACAATATTTCGGAATACTCACCAATTTGCAGTAGATAGATTTGGGAAACGTAAAAGCCGAAAACACTGGAACAGCTTTTTACTTTTGACTCAGCGGATGAAATAACGACCACCCATGTTACTTGAGCAATACCACTCCTCTCAGTAACACGCTCGATAATTTGCTTGCGATTTTATGAGGCAAGAAGGGCGTTTTGTTGAGGAACCGCACGATATCGGAGGAAACAAACGATAGCAATAGTTTAAGATCCGTAGTTCGTCTGGACCAATCTTTTAACAATTTAGAGAAAGTGCTTTCAAAGTGCAAGTCCGTTTTGAGAAACAAGACGATACTTGTGAGTTTGTTGTTATCCGTTTATCATTGACCGTTTAATTGCTTCTTGCAGAATTGGGATTAAACTGAAGCCATATATAGCCGACTGTGATAACTCTCCATTTTCATTCCGAGCCGTTTTTTGTAAACATAACTAGCCAAAATTATGCTCAGCCGTGCGGTTTTGTACACTTGCCGAATTGCTCAGTCAATGTGCCAAGAAAGACGGCTAGATTTGTAGTACTCGTTTTTACAGCTTTGGTCAGTGTGTTAGATTTGAAGGTTTGTATTGCGAATCCCTCAGAAATACTCAACAGATGCAAATAGCTTGACTTGAGAAAATTGCTAGCGTACTACAAAACCCGTTGAATGTGAAAAAAACCATGTGACTGTCTTTCCGAAATGAAGGACTAGCCTAGCCCGTCGCAACACGGTCGGTCTCTAATTAGCTTGGAAACTTATCTCACTTAATCAGTCAGACTGATCAAGTAACTAAGTAATTAAACAGCTAATAAATTTATCAACTCTCTTGCCGCCTTAATCACTCAGGTGACCCATTTGGACTTAGAGTCATGCTGAATAAATCTGTGGAGACCCTGCACAAAAATTGCTTTTACTGATAGCTGCAGAGCAAGAGGAATGCCTATTAGTTTAAACCAAAGATTTCTCATCACGTTTCCTCAAAGTATTCCCAACTATTGTAGGTCGTGATAGTCTTACCGGATGCGCATTTTGATGTATTATTAATGCAAACGCTACCATATTTTTCGCGTGCACGCCAGTCCTCTGGCGGGCGCTCAATATTTGATCACTCTGATTGCAAATGCGGTTGTTTGTGAGAAAAAAACAAATATTTGGATCCTCCACCCATTCTCAGCAAAGAAAGGTATGCAATCCAAGATACTGGCAAATAATGAAGTGGATTATGATGTCGTATGGTTTTGTATTTTGTAGTAATAATTTTTGTAACTTGTGTGTAAAATGCAAAGAAATCATTGAATCCATATTTTTCTCATGAGAAGTCCCAGCTAGAGTAGTTTTGAGTGCAAACTCTCTCATTATACGCCCGTCTCAGAGGTTGTCACTCGGTCAGCTAACACAACTGGGGACTCACTTGCGTCATTTTCTCAGTAGGTTGAACGAAAACGTCCGGATGATTACGAAACACTGACATGATATTTAAGTGGCACAGACGTGAAGTTAGGGAATCTTGACCACTAATGGTTTATGGGTTCGGTAGCCTTCAGAAGCTGTCTATCATTCGCACTGTATCCCGGAGTCAATATCTAGGATGATCTGAATCCTAAAACCCGTCCTTCGAAAATCCACCGCGAAAATGTATGAGCAAGCACAAATGGGATAATTAGTTCTCGCAGCCATGATACCCAGTGACCTATGTAAAGTTTCGACATGGCCGTGAAAACCTGATCCTTCCATAACAGGTTATTGCAGGTATCGTCTTCTTACTGAAGCGTCCGTCTGTCCAACCATCGTAACAATAAATGTGGTCAACATCCAAAAGGTGCGAGCAATCAAAAACCAAATCCAACACTCTGTTGGATTGGCCTATAATAATGTCGTCTAAGAAGTGAACGAAAAAAACTTTCACCGAAGGTTCCAACCTTGTAAGTGTGGAAGGAAGGGCAAATATGTCAAACATATTCAACAGCGGGCGACAAGTTCTGCGTGGTGGATTTTCAGTGTACCAGAATGAAATGTTACCAAGCCATCAATAAACATGAGCGTTCTGGGTAAAGTTGTACAATCAGACGAAAATAGCTGTCATTTTCACTATTAGCCATGGCGCATTGTCCATTAGGCTAGTCTGTTTCATGGACTCTCGCCTAGCCGGCACAATGCAAGCCAGAGGACAGTCGGAGCTCCAAACCTCAAAATGTTGATGTCGGGAAAGAAATGTGGCTTTGGATTTAAAATGGTTCATTGCATCTTAATCTATCATTCAAACACCCTGACCAGTCAAACACAATGTGATTATGTTTCATGGTAATGTAAGGAGATATGATCATAGGCAACAGAGGTTTCGTCCAGTCAGTAGGGCCAATCTACCCTGAAGTGCTTGGAAGAACTGAAGGGATTCTCCCTCCATGTTGGGAATCATCAGGAGTTCACGCCTCACGGAACCCGCGGTTACGTAGTCAGTTGCTGAAAACTTAGCCGTTTGGCCAGAAATGGCTGGTACGGGGTGCGATTAAATGTCATCTAGTCTGGACATCGTACCAGTTATCCCTCAACAAGAGAAAATCACATCAGCTGATCAGGTATTTATTGGTTCCTTGAGTGGCCATTCTGAGGACAGAGTTTACCAGTCCGTTGGACATTTTCTTCCCCCGAGCATGCTTATTGTGTGAGTGATGTGGGGCACTTCGATCAACAAGCGAAACGAGACAGTTTTCAAGGGAATTGTCAGCCAACTTGAGGATCTTTTTCGGCTAAATTACTTGCAAGATTAGGCA